CCTCTAACCTACTAGCACTGGCCTCTAACCTACTAGCAATGGCCTCCTGGCAATGGCATCTAACCTACTAGCAATGGCCTCCCTCTAACCTACTAGCAATGGCCTCCAGGCAATGGCCTCTAACCTACCAGCAATGGCCTCCAACCTACTAGCAATGGCCTCCAACCTAATGGCAATGGCCTCCAACCTAATGGCAATGGCCTCCAACCTACTAGCAATGGCCCTCCAACCTAATGGCAATGGCCTGAAACCTACTAGCAATGGCCTCCAACCTAATGGCAATGGCCTCTAACCTACTAGCAATGGCCTCCAACCTAATGGCAATGGCCTCTAACCTACTAGCAATGGCCTCCAACCTAATGGCAATGGCCTCTAACCCACTAGCAATTGCCTCCAACCTAATGGCAATGGCCTCTAACCTACTACCAATGGCCTCCAACCATATGGCAATGACCTCTAATCTACTTGGCCTCCCTTTAACCTACTAGCAATGGCCTCCCTCTAACCTACTAGCAACGGCATCCCTCTAACCTACTAGCAATGGCCTCCAGGCAATGGCCTCCAACCTACTAGCAATGGCCTCTAACCTACTAGCAATGGCCTCTAACCTACTAGCAATAGCCTCCAACCTAATGGCAATGGCCTCTAACCTACTAGCAATGGCATCTAACCTACTGGCAATGGCCTCCCTCTAACCTACTTGCAATGGCCTCTAACCTACTAGCAATGGCATCTAACCTACTAGCAACGGCCTCCCTCTAACCTACTAGCAATGGCCTCTAACCTACTAGCAATGGCCTCCCTCTAACCTACTAGCAACGGCCTCTAACCTACTCCTCCAACCTAATGGCAATGACCTCTAATCTACTAGCAATGGCCTCCAACCTAATGGCAATGGCCTCTAACCTGCTAGCAATGGCCTCCAACCTAATGGCAATGGCCTCCAACATACCAGCAATGGCCTCCAACCTAATGGCAATGGCCTCTAACATACTAGCAATGGCCTCCAACCTATTGGCAATGGCCTCCAACCTACTAGCAATGGCCTCCAACCTCCAACCAAATGGCAATGGCCTCTAACCTACTAGCAATGGCCTCCAACCTAATGGTAATGGCCTCCAACCTATTGGCAATGGCCTCCAACCTAATGGCAATGGCCTCCGACCTAATGGCGATGTTGTGTTCAAAGTTCCTAGTGTTACTTGGTTTGAATTGCATTAACTTAGGCGACAGAAAACACAACTGAAAAACCATAGACTCATAGACGGAATGGATGACCCACCATCACACACTTCGTGAAGACATAAAGGACAGTACAACTGTCATGGAGCTTGCCCTAAACCGTGGCCAGGAGTTGTGGAGCAGCGGTGAGAGCTCTTTGGCAGCCAAAGTCTCCTGTACTGCCTCCAATCGACATCTGAGGATAAGTGCTTGAGGGTAACAAAGCAAAACTATGCCATTGTGTCACATGATCTAATTTCCTCCAGCCCAAGTTTCATGGTATTTTCATTTGCTTTCATAGTCAATTTGCATATTTCGTGTGCAGGTCAATTGAGAGTAAGGTCTGAGGTTTAGCATCTCCTGGCGCAACCTTGTGGACAGCAAGTAGGATTGTTTAAGCAAAAACAGTTACAATTTATGGGTGTTAATATGATATGTCTAGGTCTCAATATTTTGGAAAGGCTTTGGCCAACTTTGGAAAGCGGAGTTGAAACTAGAGGAGACTGAACCCATGAACTCCTCCAGGAGTTGGGGTGAAGATTTGCAAGCCATCTGGGAGGGATTTGAAAGAGGCCATTCAGTTCGGTTGTTCTTTTTCAAAGAATTTGCGGTCATTTGGCAACTCAAAAGATGTCTTTAGCATCTTCCTAAAGAATCTGGGAGCGGTCCTTTCTCCTTTGCTTTTGCTCTTGTGCGGCGATTGTTTGATTTCGTCACCCGGATGGATACCGCGATGCCCAGGAAGCATCAACGCAATGCCCGGTGATGAGCCAGGCTTGGCGTGGGATTCATCATTCATAACCATCACAATAATTATATATTTATATGAATGATTTTAAAGGTCACTACTGATTCACTCATGCCGTTTGAGAAAGTGCACAAATGGACTAGCTTCAAAATGATCAAACGAGTATGCTAAGTAAATTTAGCATCAAAAGGTATGGGCAGGAAGACAGGAAGTTCGTGTTTTTCTTAAGGTACTTGTATCATACGGATGGAGGGAAACCTTTTTTGTTTCAATGGTGTTCAATGGTCACTGCAAAACAGCCTTCAGAAGACCTCGCACATTGCCACTGTATACGTTGAGATTTGTATCAATGGTTACCGTGGACTGTTGGATGGGTGAGGCATTGTGTTGGCACTGTGTTTACGTGAGAATTGCCCATGGGATTCATTTAGGTTGGCGGAGAAGCCGAGGAGCAACAGAAATTGGCGGAAAGAGCGGAATAGTTGAAGGATGAACTAGACAAGCCACAAACAGACTATATAGTAATTCCGCATCCAAATCTATCCTCACAATCCTAGTAACTAGTAACAATGGCCTCCAACCTACTAGCGATGGCCTCCACCCTCATAGCGATTTTCTCCAACCTAATAGCAATGGCCTCCAACCCAATAGCGGCGATGGCCTCCAACCTAAGAGCGATGGCCTCCAACCTAATCAATACTGTAGCAATCTCCAACCTACTAGCGATGGCCTCCAAACTAATAGCAATGGCCTTCAACCTACTAGCGACGGCCTTCAAACAAATAGTGATGGCCTCCAACCTACTAGCGATGGCCTCCAACCTACTAGCTATGGCATCCAACCTAATAGCAATGGCCTCCAACCTAATAGCGATGGCCTCCAACCTAAGAGCGATGGCATGCCCTCCAACCTACTAGCGATGGCCTCCAACCTAATAGCGATGGCCTCCAACCGAATTAATAGCAATCTTCAACCTACTAGCGATGGCCTCCAAACTATTAGCAATGGCCTTCAACCTACTAGCGATGGCCTCCAACCTACTAGTGATGGCCTCCAACCCACTAGCAATGGCCTCCAACATAATAGCAAACTAGCGATGGCCTCCAACCTACTAGCGATGGACTCCAACCTACTAGCAATGGCCTCCATCCTACTAGCGATGGCCTCCAACCTAAAAGCGATGGCCTCCAACCTAGTAGCAACGGCCTCCATTCTAATAGCGATGGCCTCCAACCCAATAGCGATGGCCTCCATCCATCCTACTTGCGATGGCTTCGAACCTACTTGCGATGGCCTCCAACCTACTTGCGATGGCCTCCAACCTACTAGCATGATATTCCTCTTGAAGACTTGGTTTTGCCATTTTGTCAAGGCGAAGACCATCCCTTTGAAGAGGCTGGTCGTATCTTCCACTCCATCGTTGGCCTGGAGCGATGCCTGCGGGTCACGCGCTCAAGTCGTGATGAGTTGCGTTGGTCACACCGACTATAGAAGCGTTCATCGAAGCGTTCAACTATAGAAATGGGAAGTCAATTTCATATTTGTTTCCTTCAAAGTTGTTTTTAGTAGCGTCCTTGCTCCTAGTAGTAAGGCCAGGAGCCCCTAGTAGCGTCCTTTGTTCCTAGTAGCTTTTTGTTTCTAATAGCTTCTTGCTACTACTAGTAAGGCCCTTGTTCCGAGTAGCGATGCACTTGTTACTAGTAGCGAACATTGCTACTACTAGTAGCTTGTTTCCGTTTTGAGTGTCCCGGCAGTTTTCCCGTTTCGTGAGGCCAGCATCCCACCGGACATGCGCTGGTGGAACGACGAAGTGTGATGCGCTCAGGCTGTTGGCGCACCACGCTTTTCTTTTCTTCGGATCAGTTGCCTGTTCTTCTGAACACTGTTCAATGATGCTCTCAAGTAGTATGTATTCGACTTTTGTCACCGGACAACTGATGCCTGGTTCGGATTAACATCAAGATTGAACATCCAAGCTTTGTCAAACGAACAAAGTAAGGGAACTTTGAACAAGGGCTCTTATTAAAAATGCCCTTACCATCTAAGCTTACTTCCTTTTTTGGTGGGGAATCTATTCCGGTCGGAATGGACATATGTCAGCGTGTGCCTGTCCAGGTAGATGATGTACGTGCCGTGAGCGGAGCATCCATCTGGTATACCTTCTTGAAGCGAGAAAGGGTAAGCTGATGTAAACCAGGTAAACGTGACAGTTACGTTCAGTAACTGGTATTAAAGTGTGAGCTACTAGGTTGGAGGTCACCGCTCTAGGTTGGAGGCCATCGCTATTTAGGTTCCTTAAAGTCTAGTACTACTTTTATCCAAGTGGGCTGGCAACTTGATGCCAAATCTTGGAGTCCAATTTGTTGTGATAAAGGAAATCGCTGGACAACGAAAAAGGGAAGCCTTCATGCAAAAATACACAGGTTGCAGCTGCAGCTATCAACCTTTGGCTTTTGACATGGTGCCTTTTGGCTCTTGAACTTTTTTGCATTAGATATAGCTTTGGCAGTAGCTTTGGCGGTTTCGAGAATCATCGAGCCGCTTCCCAACACTCATCCCCAAAAGCGCTTCCAAAACATTTGCGCTGAGTCCCTCTCCCTTCCAAGATCGTTCCAGCTTGCGGGGGATTCCCATTGTTTGTCTTTGCGGACAACAATAAACAAAAGGAAAACTGGCTTATATTGTCTCAGATTGATTATCTTAGCCCTTGCCATGCCATTGAATGGTTTCTTGGATTCCTTTGACGTACTGGTGCCGTGCCAAGTTTGTGGTATACCATTGCTTAGCCGCCTTTCCCGGGTTGAAGTGCCAAGAGGTCTTGGAGACCCTTGCCGCTTCCCCTGCGACGACGACGTCTGTTTGGATATGATTGTAGCTTAGATGGAATGAATCCAGGCATGCTGTAGCTCGTTTTTCACAGAGTTCCACACTCAAGTCAGATTTGCAGTAACTACTAAACTTTGTCCCATAAAGTCAGTGGTTGAACAAGCGTCGCCGTCGCACAGAGACTTAGCTGTTAAGTCATGTTTCGGAATTTGCCGGAATGGTTTGAAAAGCTGTTCCCATGTGAAAAATAGCCCTTTCTTTTTAAAGCCCGCTCCCCCCTCCCCAAGTAGGCGCTTACTTAATCAAGTAAGGGAGAGGTAGCTAGTTCTTACTTAAGCTATTAGTATGGACGCAGGACAGCTCACACTTCTTCAAGGAAGTTTAGTGCGGCAGGGGGAGCTTCCTTCATTTGGTTTCTAGATTTTTAGGGAAACTTAAGAATGTTTGGAGATACGTGGATTGTAGAGACATTGAGCACTCCGGCAACTCCCAATTCATAAGACTAGACCATGCGACATCAAGATCGCGTTTGTGTGGGCCCGCTTGGGCACAAGAGAGTTGTGCAGAGAGCCGGCGTGATGGAGAGATAGTTGAAGGTCTACTGTAGCGGGTTGGAAGCAACGTGCTGAACAAGTGCGTTGATGGCAACTGTCAGATCCTCGAAATTTTCTCCTCAGAGGTGAGCAAACGCTCGCTTCCTGGTGAAGGGCTTACTCAGAAGCAACAGACCACGGCCACGACAATGATAACCACTACTCGTAGGTCGGCTCCTACTACTGCTACATATACTGCTACTATTTCAACCGCAACTACAACTGTGGAGGGAAGCTCAAAACTCGAAGCAGGTGTCTTCCTGCTTTCAGAGTTGGAAGAGGCTGAGCCGACTTTCCTCGACCGAGCACCAAGCTGATCAGGTCGATACCATGTAGCAGATTGGAACCCTTGTGATCCCGGTAAAAGCTGATGCTGATCCCGGTTCTGCGAATCATTCCATAACCTCAGTCTTGGGCCAGTTCAGCTTCCATGAGCCAATTATCCATGGCAGGACGTGCGTGCCGGGCCTTTGCCGGAAGCGGGTGAAGGTGCCATGGTCGTTTTGGGAATGTTTTGGGGATGAAAGCCTGTGAGATCCTGTGAAAGTATGCAATGAATGGATATGAGCGGGAAAGCTTCACCGCCCGGTCAGTACTGACGGCATAGCGGGACTCAAAGTGCTCTTGCAAAATATCCTTATGTCTCTATAATAACATTCTACAGCTATTTTGATGGGGGTTTATCAAAGACACGTCATGCTTGCAAGTGGTCTATGTGAAGGTACTTAGCAACTTTCAACACATGACATTAGTATTTTGGAACAGTATTCTCGGCGAAGACCCAATCAGCACCTGGCATTTATTGTGTCTATTTCTGTGGCTCAAGCCATCATTCACAATTCCCATGGGCCACATCACCCAAAGCACCCAAGTTTCTCATGTTCCTCTCCGGAAATTGTCAAGCTTTTCTTTGGTACTTCTGGCTTTCTTAGGTTCGAGACCATTGCTATTAGAGTGGAGGCCATCGCTATTATTAGGTCGGAGGCCATCGCTAGTAGGGTAAAGGCCATTGCTAGTAGTTTGGAGGCCATCGATATTAGGGCGGAGGCCATCGCTAGTAGGGCGGAGGCCATTGCTAGTAGGTCGGAGGCCATCGCTCTTAGGGTGGGGTCCACCGCTAGTAAGTTGGAGGCCTTTGAGACTTCTGGAGCTCCAGGCGTGCTCCGCTCCTTCCGTCAGCGCTCCTGGTCGCAGCGCTGGAACTGGCTGAAAAGGACACAGGCGTGTTTCAGAGTGGCGTTGTCGGGCATTGGGAGATTCAGATGGATGTTGGGGGCCCAAGTCCAATCTTTTGAGGCGGACAACAATGAAAGGTTTTTTTGTGAAGAGTTGGGCCTGGGACATAATTTTGGCTAAAGCACTTGAGCTGCTGCATGTTCATTTGCCAGTGACGTCGAGTCACAGATTCACATCATTAGAACCATTGCTCAGATTCTTGGCCACACGACATCATGAACATCCTCCAGCGTACACCTGCAAAGCACTAAGGTGCAACAAAAACAACCATAGAACCAGTACCTTTAGTACCTTCTTTCTGTTGGGCACATCTACCATGACAGGCGCCAGTGCGCCGGTTGCGTGCGTTCAGCTCTACGCCTGCAGGTCGCAAGATCAGTCTGCGAGGGGAGAGTGGGATAGACCACCTGTTACACTGAGTAACACTGAGCGGGGTTAGGTATGCTCTACATTTCTCAAGATCCTGAAGAAGTTTGTCCAGAACTTCTGTGGTAAAACAGGAAGGTTTGGCTCTGCTGAGAGGTATCATGAGGAATCCAGGTTTCCGCGCTTTTCGCAATATGAGCTTGCTAAGACTGGGATTTGGATGGTGTTGACTGTTTATATTTGTTGGAGGCAATTGCTATTAGGTTGGAACCCATCGCTAGTAGGCTGGAGGCCATCGCTCTCAGAGTGGAGGCCATTGCTAGTAGGTTAGAGGCCATTGTCATTAGGTTAGAGGCCATTGCTAGTAGGTTGGAGGCCGTTGCTAAGTTCGGAAAGCGCTGCTGCTGCATCATGCTATTAGGAACAAACTCTTTGAACTAGTAGTAACAAGGACGCTAGTAGAAACAAGTGCATCGCTACTAG